AGGCTCCTGGCTGCCCGGGAAAGGCACGGGCTGCTGCCTGTGCTGCGGCTGGCACCGCTCCCCTCTGCAGCCAGCGGGATCCCGGCGCCCCGGGACAGAAATCCCCGGGATCCCCGGGCTGGGGGATCCCAACGCTCCCAGAGCCGCGCAGAGAGGGGAGAGCAAGGAAATCGGCAGCAGCTTGGGCTCAGCTCAGAGCTCGGGGCGGGTTTTTGGGGGAGCTTTCAGCACCTCACATCCCTGGCTGGTGGCCGTGCCGTGCCTCAGTTTCCCCCGTCGCACTCTGAGGGTTGGGCTCAGCCGGGTTTTAGGGAGCTGGAGGTCATGGATGAGGGAGGGAAACCCGCAGTGCCTGGGAGTGCTGCTGCCACACAGGGACACGAGGCTGTTCGGGCAGTCTGGGGGTCCCCAGAGAGCGCCCCACGCCCTCTGTGCCTGCAGGAGAGGAAGGAGCGACCCCCCAGCCCGGCTGGAACTCCCAGATGTGCCACCACAGCTGGGCACGCAGGACACGCGGCTCCAACCCTGCTTTGCCTGCGGGATTCTCCCCCCTCTCCTCGTTTTTTACCATTTCCCTGCTTTTCCAAGCGCGTTGCTCATCCGGAGCGGGGCTCAGCTCCCGTTTGCTGCTCCCTCCTGCTCCTTCAGGAGATGCTCACCCGCACGTGGTGGCTGCGGAGCCGTCACGGTGCCGGCCGGGAATTACTCACGGTGTAAGGTTGGAGGAAGGAGGGGGGAGGCCACATTCTCTGCTTTGTCTGCAGTTGTTCATTTCTCACCCTTTGATAGAATTTTTTTCCCCCCTCCTCTCTTTCTTCTCCTGCCAACGTTCTCCATCCTGGCTCCCTGAGCTCCCTGCTGCTCGCTCTTACCTTGGGGTTGGAGAATCTGGCTGCAAAAATGTTCTTTGCCGTGGTCACAGAGGGGTCCCCTCACACCTGCCTGGGAGAACCAGTCCCTCCCCTCTTCCCACTCTGCCACTTCCACATTTGCCCATTTCTGCTCATTCTTGGCCCAAACTTCCCCCCAGCTCTGTCACAACGTCCCCACACGTCACCAGCCCCGTGGCACCGACCAAGCCTGGTCCGCATCCCCCCTCAGACCTGGAGTGTGACACCTCGGGTGGCTTAGAGGAGGGCAAAACCCACCCAGAAAAGCCCAAATCCTCGCTCCAGGCTGTCGGAGGGAAGTGTGGCTGCGGGAATTCCTGTCCTGGCAATGCCAGGGCACATCCTGCTGCGCCTTGGGAAGACTCAGCAGAAAAGCATTCGGGACACTCGGTCCTTCCCCTTCTCCAGCACACCCGAGGCAGATCAATGAATATTTTAACAAAGAAATATTTCATTAAAAGAGTTGATTGCTTAATGAACTGTCCCTGTGAGCCATCAAAATGCAATGGTTTTTTTTTTTTTTTTTTTCCCCTGCCTTTAACGAAGGCGAAGATTCATATCACGAAGAAGTGGCTTATCAAATTACCGTAATAGCTTGAGTAGAGCCAGCCCGGGCAGCGGCGCGGGGAGCCCGGGGGCTGCTCCCACCACAAACGGGACCCCACGGGTGCCACCGAGCAAGCTGGGACCGGGGCAGGCTCCTCGTGTCCCTAAAACCAGAGCCTGGCATCGTGGCAAGCAGGTTTGCTTCCCTTCGGGCAGCCAGGATTGGAGGGAAAGACAATTCTCCATCCCTTTTTATTCCCAACGCGAGAGCGTTGTGATCAAGGGACATAAAAAGCATTTCTATCATCTGAGGCCGTGAATTGCACCAGGGCTCCAGCCTCCTCTGCCTGGCTCTTGGAATCACAGAATCTGGGAATGGTTTGGCTTGGAAGGGACCTCAAAGTTACTCCAATTGGGCGATTAGAACAGAGAGGCATCCGAAAATGTCATCACCATCTCTTATCAAGCCTGGGTGCTCTGAGGAACCATCACTGCTGCTGCTGCTGCTGCCCAGAGCTGCCAGGCAGGACAGGGGCTCGTCCTCCTGGCTTTGCCTTTGGAAGTTAAATGAAAATGTTGATCCCAGGTTTCCTGACGGCTCCTCCATGCCCAGGCTCCGGGCTGGGCACGGCTGGAGGGATGTGGCCATTAACAGGCGGGAAATGAACAATAACCTGACAAGAAACGACCAATTTTCCATCAATTAGAGCGAAGCCTCTTTTTGTCTTTTAGTAAAATTAAGTTTTGCTGACTGGTGATTACTTCGGTCTGATGACAATTCATTAACATTTACATGGGGAGGATGCTAATGGCGAGGAGGAGGAGAGGGAAGGTGCAGAAACGTGGGCTCGGAGAAGCTCTGGAGGTCGGGACGGGCCAGGGAAGGAGGGGAAGCATCCCCCAAAGCAGGGCAGCAGGAAGCCCTCCCGCCCCTCTCTGCAGGAGCACAAAAGTGCTTTGTTTGGGGCTGGAATTCTGCTCCTCGTGCTGCTTCCCCCGCTGGGGCTCTGGGTTTAGGGACACTGCAGCGTCCCTGGGGCCAGCACCAGGCCAGGGTCCCTCAGCGCCGCTCCTGGAGCGTGGGGACGATGGGGACAGGGTGGCAGCAGGGCTCTGAACTTGGCATGAGAGGGACCAGGGGTGGGCAGTAACAAAACCGACCAGGGGAGTGACCACCAGCACCTCGAAGCACCCAAACCAGGCACAATCAGCCCGAATTTCTGTTAGAGAGTGAAGGGGGAATTGGTGCTGAGTGGGAATATTTGTATATACGGACATGTGCGTGTGCAAGGCATGGGAATCTTCAAAAATCAAGTTATTGCCGGGATCAGAACCACCTCTGCTGCTGCAGCAGGCCTCTCCTCAGCTGAGAATCCAGCCCCAAAAGCAAAGGCAGAAGTTCCTCGGGCTGCTGGTCCCCTTGCACACTCCTGGGGTTGGAGATACCCGCAGCTGAGCAGGTTTGGGGGAAGAAACAGAAACCCTCCTTCCCACAGGAGTCACCTCAACCCTCATCTCCCCTGAAAAAAAAAACTTCCTGGGGTGTTCCCAACCCCAAAACTTCCACTTTTATTGACTGTTTGCAGGAGCTGGCAGGGAAGGAGCTGCCTCTGCATTCCCCTGGAACGGGGCAGGGATTTGCTCATCCCCAGGGCGATTGGGAAAGCTCAGGGAGCATTTACTGTAAGAGGCCTTTGATTCAGTTCGAGGGCTCTGGCAGCGGGATGGGGAATGTGTTGAATCAGAGGCACAGCAGAGCCCTCCCTGCCCACACTCCAAACTCCTGGGATTTCCCCAAATCCCCATCCTGGATGGCCAGGCTTGAAGGATGCAAGGATTTAATAGGGGGGAAAAAAGGGTCAGGTTCTCACCGGGTTTTCTGTTCCTTCCCCCGAGTTCAGAGGGTGAAGTTTGGGTTTTGTAGCACGATGGGTGACACAGGGATGGTTGGCTCCCTGCGCTGTTTTGTCACTCTATTTATAACTTTATTTGGGAGGGGATTTCCACAAAACCCCATAAAAACTGGGGTTTCCCATCAAAAAGCTTTTCAAGTTCTTTCATGACCTTTGTTCAACAATGACCTAATTTCACTCAAACTCTGGCACAGCCTATTCCTGAGGTGGGAGGAGAAGTGGCATTCAAAATTGGGTCAGTTTTCATTAAAAACCCTTCCGTTTACTAATAGTTTTTCATGTGTCAGAAGGACTGGGATGGGCTCCAGACGCCGGCTGCCCTTCTTCACTGGAGAAATGGGTTAATCTTCCTGGGAAATCACCGCTCAAGGACTTTTTGGCCCTCTTTCTCCTCCCGAAAGTTGGGATGGAGGCGGTGTTTTTGGTGGTGCCCCCTCCCGAGGCTCCTGCTGGGGTGTTGGGTGTGAGGATTCAGGTGGGATGGGGCTGATTAAAGCTGGGCCACGCTGGCTGTGCCCGTGTCACCTGTGTCACCCACCCTGGGCGTGCGACACGAGCCCTGAGCTGCTGGTGGGATCCCAGAGAGACGCAGGATGGAAAGAGAGCGGTGGAGAGGGTGAAGATCCCACACCCTGACCTAATTCAGAGCCTAATCCAAATCTTGTCCTAACCGGGGGGAATCTGAACCTTCGGGCTGATCTCCCAGCGCGGGGAAGGGGACGGGAAATGCGCTGGGAGCCGCGGAGCAGCTGCCGGGCAGCCGCGGAGGCTCCCGGGGATGGAGCGGGGAGTGGGAAGGGATCGTGGCCTGGGGTCTGCTCCCACAGTGCTGGGAGCTGCCCAGATTCCCTGCTTGGATCCTTTTCGGAGGATGGAGCCTGTGGCTGAAGCCCCTGAGAGCCGCGGGACGGGCGAAAAGCGGCGGCCAAGCCGGCACGAAGCGGGCGGGGCGGGGAGGGAGGCGCAGCCGAGAACCGGCGCTCGGGACCGCTCCTGCTTCTCAAATGTGCAAATTATGCAGCCATTTCACGGGACACTTAGGAGTCAATTTGCAACGCGGCTCAGGGGGGAAATTGGGCACATAATTCCCCTGAACAATAACCGGAGCGGCCGCTTAATTTAACTCCGCGCCTGGACCTCGTTAACGCGTGCCGAGGGGAGGATGCTGCGGGCGCCGGGGCCACGTGCGCGCATCCCCGCGCATCTTCCCGCATCCCTCCGCATCCCTCCGCATCCCTCCGCATCCTCCCGCATCCCCCGGGCCCGCAGCGATGCCCGAGGGCAGCGGGGCTGGCTCGGGGGCTCGGCAGGTCCCAGCCCGGCTCGCACACGCTCCGGCAGCCCCGGCACAGTGGCAGCAGGCTGTTCTCATTACAGCCCAATGAGGCTGTTTACTCACCCAGCTGGAGACAGTTAGAGAGTGATAAATAATGAAAGAGAAAACATGATTTTCCCCTCTGTGGTTTCTATTTGTGTAACCATATGTCACAGCTCAATACGGCCGCGAGATTTTTTTTTTTTCTGCTTTATTCAGGAAAGAGTTGATTTTTTTTCCACAGTGCTGTGATTTTCCCCCCTGACTTCTCTCTCTTTTTTTTTTTTTTTTTTTTTTTTTTTTTTTTTTTTTTTTTTTTTTTTTTTTTTTTTTTTTTTTTTTTTGCAGAGACAGGAGTATTTCTGTTTGTTTTCTTGTAAAACTCGCTCGGGCTCCGACTCCTTAAAGTCTGGCTTGTCCCAGGAACTGCGGAGGTTTGATAGGATTGTGCTCAGCTTCTTTTCAAATACCTGTCACGGGGCTGCGGGGAGAAGAACCAGCTGAGAGGAGCGTGGGGAGGGCTCGGCACCCGAGCCGAGCCGAGCCGGGCCGGGCCCGCGTCTCCCTGGCTGGAGCAATTCCCACGGGAGGATAAAACCTTCCCTGGCACGGTTGGGTGAGGGCTGAGGAGTTGGTTTTGTATCTCGGAGCGTTTTGTGAGGGCAACAGAGCACGGCCGCTGCTGTCGGCAGGTGGGGAAACTGAGGCAGCGCGCACCCACAGGGCTCATCCAGGGACCCCGCAGCCCCCAGACACCTGCGGGATCCACCCCGGCGCCTCGGGAGCGGGGTTTGAACTGGGGGAGAGAAGGATCTGAGGCAGCCTGAGAAGGAGAACTCAGCTCCCCCCTCCCCGAGGAAAGGCCCTGGCAGCGCCCCGCGCCGGGTGGCGGCCGGGAGAGCTCCGGGAGCGCTCCGGGAGCGCATCCCGCCCGTGCCCTGGGGAGGGCAGGTCCCTGCACGGCCCCTCTCCCTCCCCGCCAGCTTCCGCACACCTTCCTGCAGCAATTACCCGCGGCTGCCCGCGCCGCATCCCGCCTGCCGCCGTCTCTTCTGCTGCCATGCCCCCGCGGCTGCCGGCGCTCCCGGAGCTCCTGGCACGCTCCGGGGATGAGTTTCCCCTCGGAGCAATCCCGGCCAGGGGCGTGCGAGGTGGTTTGTTTTCGCCCCGGCAAGTTCGCCGGCTTCACAACATCCTCTTCCCGCAAGAGGCATCGCTCTGGGAGGGGAATTATCGCAGTGAGCTCATCCGTGTCTGCGGCATGAGGTCACAGCGCCCGGGGAGCCGCCAGCCCGGTCCCAGGGGTGTGCCCGGAGCTCGGCTCATCCCGATCCGGCCTTGGGCTCGCTCCAGAGCCCCGGCCCAGCTCCCAGGAAACTCGCAATTCATCGTGGCAAAATTCCCAGGGGCCAAAGCAGGAGCGCGGTGTGGATGCGGCAGGGAAGAGCCCGAGCGGCGCCGAGCCCTGCTGGGGGTTTGATCCGTGGGGTTCACCCCAGCGTGGAAATCGCCTCCCAGCAATCCCACCCGGTCCTTGAGAGCGTTTTCCAAACGCTGCTGGAGCTGTGGCAGCCTCGGGGCCGTTCCTTGGGGAGCCATTCCCCAGCACCGTGTGGGGGAAAAGCCTTTCAGTGGTGTCCATCCCAAACCCAAACCCCTCTGATGCAACTCCAGCGTTCCCTGGGTGCTGTCCCTGGCCACCTTTGTCCTGAAGTGGCACCGAGTGTCTCCCTCACACGCAGCTCCTGCAGTGACCCAGCATTGGTGGCTCCAGGCCCCATCCTCTGGTGTGGAACCACAGCGACGTCTGATCCCTACAGCATCCCAAAGCCTCGGCTGTGTTTGAATCACCTCGATTAAACTTAGCAAGCACACCTCCTCCTGGGGCCGCTCCCTTTTTCCAGATGTAGGGAAAGCATTTCTGGGGGGGTTTTGTGCACAGGCAGAGCCATTCCCACACCCCCGTGGTGCCCACAGCTGCTCTGTGACACCCTGCACTGACAGCTCTTTCTGCCCCCTCCAGGTCTCATCGAGGTCCCACCAATGAGGCTGCCACCCAAAATGTGCCCAGATTCACCCAAATGCTGGAGAAACAGCTGTTCTCCCCACTGCAGCCACCCCATCCCAGCAAAACCACCCCAGCCCGGAGGCTGAGCCATGTGCTGAGTGTTGAACACTTTAATGTTGATGGATTTGTCCTTCTTAAAAGCAATTAACTGAGGCGAATCAGCATCTTCTTGCTTCAGGTCACAAGAAGCTCTCACTGCAGGGCTTGAGCTGCAGATTTGGGGGAGATAGACCCCACTGGTTCCCTGACCCCATTCCTGGCCCAGCGCTTCCACAGCCCAAAGCCTCTCCTCTCCTCTCCTCTCCTCTCCTCTCCTCTCCTCTCCTCTCCTCTCCTCTCCTCTCCTCTCCTCTCCTCT